ATTTTTTTTTTTACATTCTTGAGCTCAAAACAGACCCTCAAATAACTTTCTTTTAGCAAGACTCAATTTACTTATGAACATGCTTTAGGGACCCAGAATGATAATTAACATATGAGTACTTGGAAGTATTAACATAAAATCATTCAAAAATATGTACCTTGAGTCTCTCTCTCGTCTGTGTTCGGTGCCAACCATTTGTTCAGGACAGAGCTAAAAGCTACCACAACCTTCTGAATCTTTGACAGATCAGCTCTGAGTTCAGTGGCTAGTCTTTCACTCTGGCATACCTTTAACTCAAGCTTCCAAACCCAACATGAACAGGCAGCTGGAATAACCTTTGGAGAGTGCAGGACCAGGAGTGTGTTAAACCCTTTTTTTTTTTTTTTTTTTTTTTTTTTTTCTTTTTTTTTTGTTTAACACACTACCTGTGGAGCTATGATTTAACAGTCAGGCAGAGCCTTCTCTCAGATCGTTGATTTTTGACCAAGCCTCTGTTAAACCTTCTGATTTGTGGATCAATGATATCACTTGACTTCTCAACCACTGATCCTTGTGCATGTCTTCAATAGCATATTCAGAGCTCCATTAATAGAGTACTGGAATTGACTTAGTGATGTATCACAATTCCAAGTACATCTCGTGACATGCACACTTCCACCTCTCCTCAGCTCTTTGACCTCCGTTATCACGACAACATTTTACAGGAATGTCCACAAGAGTTGGCATGACAGGTAGCTATTTTCCACTCTTTTTAAACCGAAGTACAGGGTGCTGATCTTCTATTCATTCTTAGGATTTCCATGGTCTGTTCTTGCTCCAGTCCCTGTCTTAGATCAGCACAACTCACAGAGAAAGTTAGATCTCACAAATCCCAATGGATTTTCTCAGATTCACGAATCTGTTAAAATCCAATGGTTTAGTAAACAAATCAGCCAGTTGAAATTCTGTACTCACATGATCAACCACAATCAGTTTCGCCTCAACAAGTTCACGAATAAAATGATGTCTAATATCAATATGCTTAGTACGTGAATGTTGAACAGGATTCTTAGCTATGTTGATTGCACTTTGGTTATCACAATGAATTAAAAGAGTTTCAGAATCCATACCATAGTCAGCAACCATTTGTTTCATCCACATGAGTTGAGTGCAGCAGCTTCCCAGTGCAATGTACTCGGCTTCTGCTGTTGACAGAGAAACACTGTTCTGTTTCTTGCTGTGCCATGAAATCAGGTTGTTGCCCATGAAGAAACATCCACCACTTGTGCTTCTACGATCATCCAATGAACCAGCCCAATCAGCATCACAGTAGCCTGTCAAGCTCCTGGTTGTATCCTTGGTGTAGTATATTCCAAGATTTACAGTCCCCTTGATGTACTTGATGATCTTCTTAACAGCCAACAAATGAGACTTCTTTGGTTTGGCTTGATACAGAGCACAGATTCCAACAGATAAACAGATGTCTGGTCTGCTGGCAGTTAAGTACAACAGACTCCCGATCATTCCTCTGTAAACTCGTTCATCAACATCCTCTCCTGCTTCATCCTTTGAGAGCTTGTCAGTCACACTCATTGGGACCTTCGCCTCTTTACTCTTGGCGAGACCAAAACGTTCAACTAAATTCTTGGCATAAGTGCTTTGTGAAACAAATATTCCATCAGCTGATTGTTTCACTTGCAGTCCCAAGAAATAGTTTAACTCCCCACACATGCTCATTTCAAATTCTTGAGTCATGTTCTTCACAAACTGATCAACTAGCGGCTGACATGTGGATCCAAAGACAATATCATCAACATATATCTGAACAAACATCACACCATTGTTATCTTGAAACACAAACAATGTTTTGTCTACATTCCCACGCACATATCCTTGTTTGATCAGAAATGTTGTCAGACGCTCGTACCAAGCTCTTGGAGCCTGTTTCAGTCCGTAGAGAGCCTTCTTTAGCTTGTACACATGATCAGGACGCTGAGGATTCTCAAATCCTTTAAGTTGCTCCACATACACTTCTTCTTGGAGAATTCCATTTAGAAAGGCACTCTTAACATCCATCTGATGCAATGTGAAATTTAGAGCACATGCCATGCCAAACAGAAACCTGATGGATTCCAGTCTTGCTACAGGAGCAAAAGTCTCGTCAAAATCAATGCCTTCTATCTGAGAGTATCCTTGAGCAACCAACCGCACCTTATTGCGAACAATACATCCATGTGCATCACTCTTGTTTTTGAAGATCCACTTAGTTCCCACAACATTGACATCAGCTGGTCGTTGTTTGAGTTCCCAGACATCACTCCGTTCAAACTGCTCTAGTTCATCTTGCATAGCAGCAATCCAAAATTCGTCAACAAGAGCATCTCTGTGATTCTTGGGCTCCAGGGTTGACACGAAGCAAGCAAACTGCACAACCGCAGCCATCTGTGGAACTTCAGCAGCAACATTCTTCTGCTTCTGACCAGCGAGTTGCTTGAAGTCAATCTTCTTTCCTCTAGTAACTCTGCCCCCCTGAATCGTACCTATAATATCATTAGAGGTGTGATTCTTATGCACCTGAGGAGTAGGTAGAAGCTCAGCCGTGTCGTCATCGGCGTTGGAGCCATCATCAACTTCCTGCTCTGGACTTGGTTCATACCCCACAACTCCTTCATTGAAATCCTTAGGAGCATTAGTTACTGAGGACACATCTTCATAAACACGAAAAGACGCGTCATCAAACACCACGTTAACAGTCTCTTGAACCATCCTGGACCGTTTGTTGTAAACTCGGTAGGCTGTGCTGTTGCCTGAGTACCCCAGAAACATGCCTTCGTCGCTCCTGGAATCAAACTTGCCCAGTTGATCCTTGTCATTAAGGATATAGCACATACATCCGAACACATGGAAATAGTTGATTGATGGTGTTTTTCCTTTCCACAGCTCATAAGAGGTCTTGTTGGTTCCTTTCCTCACATAGACCCGATTGATGATGTAACATGCAGTGTTGATTGCTTCATCCCAGAAATGTTGAGCGACTTGATTACCATGCAGCATAGCTCTAGCCATTTCTTGCAGCGTTCTGTTCTTCCGCTCAACAACTCCATTCTGCTGAGGTGTGCGAGGAGCAGAATATTGATGAGTTATCCCTTGAGCAGCATAGAACTGATCAAACAACTCATTCTGGAATTCACCACCATGATCACTTCGTACTGTCTTGATTCCCCATTTTTCACTCTTGAGTTGCAGAGCAAGAATTCTGAAACTGTTAAGAGTATCCGATTTCTCTCGTAGAAAACGGACCCATGTGTAGCGCGTAAAATCATCAACCATAACAAGAATAAAACGCTTACTTGTCAGACTTTGGACACGCATTGGTCCCATTAGGTCCATGTGAACCAATTCCAAAGCATGAACAGCACGAACATCAGGAACCGATTTGTGAGCAACCTTCACTTGTTTGCCCTTGTTACACGGTCCGCACACAAAATAAGGATCAGCCTTTAGCTTTGGCATTCCTCGAACAACCTCCTGATGTGCAAGTCTCAACATCGTACGAACATTCAGATGTCCTAATTTCTTATGCCACAACTCAGTTTGAAAATCTACAGCTGCTTGAAAGCAAGGGTTACCAGAACTCCACATGTAACAATTGTTGCCAGACCGCTGTCCCTCGAGCTGAACACGTCCTAGTCGATACACAGCCTTGCAGTTGGCCTTGGTAAAAGTTACATTCAGACCCTCATCACACAGTTGGCTGATGCTAATCAGATTGGCCTTCAGTCCATCAACCAGAAACACATCATGTAATCTTGGTTGAGATTCACCACCTGTGGTACCTTTTCCTTTGATTTTTCCTTTTGCACCATCTCCAAAAGTAACTCTGCCTGCTGAAACCTGTGTAAACTCTGACAGATTGTCTTGAGCTCCAGTCATGTGTCTTGAGCATCCGCTGTCAAAATACCACTTCTCCTGAGTTGACTCCTGTTCATCAGCAGTGTAAGCAACATTGCAGTACAGATCTTCCTTTCTGATGTAGACTCTGCTCGTATTCTTTGAATCCCTGTGATATTACTGATGCTGCATCATTGCAGACACACGATTCAAAAATCCATAGCATTGTGCCTTGTAGTGATTCAGATTACCACAGTACCAACAACCTGTTCTTCTGCTACGGTGAAGACGAAACACAGAACCGTACGCTGACTGAACCTGTTCGTGAGAAGCCATTCTTGATTTTCGGACATGAGCTGATTGTTCCTGATTAAATGAGGACACAGCACGTCTCTGATTTTTCTGAGGAACAGACTTCCTTTGAGTAGCTTCTGATGACTGTGGAGCTGCCTTAACAAACTTAGTTGTACCATTGAAATTTCCACCTTGATACCCTAGACCCCAGTTGACATTAGCCGTTCGTCCCACAGTTAGGAGTTTGTCCAGATCTTTAGTCCCTCTGCTCAGCATCTTGATGTTCCTGAGTTGATCCTCCAACTGCCTCTCAAGACCTTGCGACTTGACTTTCTCAGCTTCAAGATCCTTGGATATCACAGAAAATTTCAATTGAAGTTCATTTCTTACGGTGGTTAGATCAGAGATCTCCTTTGTCTTGCTCATCAGACTCCTGATCAAGAGAGCAACTTGTTCTTCAGTAGGAAGATTTGCTTCATCATCCTCTGATTCATCACCAACTACCTGATTGACATCGTCTTGAGCTGTCACACCAACACTCTCATCGCCTTCCTCAATGATGCCAACTTTATCATCATCTGCAGACTCCTGAGTGTCAACAGTATTCAGTGCGAAAGTTTTTCCACTTGCCTGCTCCTTTTTCTTAACTTGTAGCTCATATGCCTGCATCATCCCAACTACTTGATCAAATTTTAACTCATCAGAATTCAACGAGACATCAATTGTAGACCTATGTGGCTGAAACTTCTCCGGCAGACTTCTGAGAAATTTTTTAACCAACTTCTTATCTTTATAGCGTTTTCCCAACACTATAGCCTCTTGAGAGATATTACTCAGGTTGCTGCTGAATTCCTCAATAGTCTCACTATCTCCCATAGTCAAGTTCTCGAAATCAGACGCTAAGATGTCAAGTCTGGTTCTCTTCACATTGCTGGTTCCTTCAAAGGTGACCTGAAGAATATCCCATGCCTCTTTTGCAGATTCACATCCCTGAACTCTGGTGAACTGATTTACAGGCAACGATTTGAAGATTAAGGACAGAGCTGTTGCATTGTGTTTTGCTGCAAGTTTCTCCTCTGCAGTCCAATCCTTCTTGGGTTTTGAAACAGCATCTCCAGCCTCATTTGTTTTCACAGGGGCTGTCCATCCATCTTCAACAGCTATCCAGGCATCAAGATCAGCACTCTGAATATCCTGTCTCAGCTGCACCTTCCAGAACCCGTAATGTTCTGGATCCAACTTAAACGGCTTAGTTATAGCAACGTATTGCTGTGATTTCTCCATACCCTCTGTTGCAGGATCTCACCTGTTGAAAAGATAAACAGATTTTTTATCAGGCGTCCGCTCTGATACCAAATGAAAATGTATAGAGAAACGCACAGACAGTTAAACTTAGAACGCGCCAAGCAAACGCTTTTTCCTTCGATCTTTATTAACAAAATTTATCTTTTCCTAGGATACAATTTTGTCTCGGCTCTTACTCAATCTATTCCTACCAATAGAATTGAACCTGAGCACTAAACCTATCTCTCCTACACCCGTGTAGTCCCAAGAGAAAACAAACACTCACCTTCTCAGCTTTTTGTTTTGCTAGTTTCGAAGTATATAATCACGTACAAAGAGTCTAAAGTGTTCAAAATGGCTCGTGGCCAAACCCTAGACTATTTATACTCACTACTCGAAACCCTAACCCTAGGATCTTCGAGGATCTCACGGAAACGGAATATACTTGCTTGTCAAGCTTATCCTTTCCTTATTTGATGTGAAGAATATTCACCATATCTTCACACGCAATTCGTCTCTATCTTTGCTGCCAAGCAAGAAATCTTCCTTAGCACGTCACTCCATCCACTTAAGCTTTGCCACGTCATCTCACAACTCCATGTCAGCAACTTCAAGTGTCTGATGTGATCTCAGGCGTCTGATGTGGTCTCAGGCGTCTGAACAGATGCGGCTTCCTGATCTTCACAGCAAGCTGTTCTGGAACTGCATCTTCAAATATCTGCAGCAGTTTTACTTTTAGCGTATACTATATTGTTATATAAGCATTGAATCATCACTAATATTGTGATTAACCAAGAAAATACTGTATATAATTTATATCGATATGTCGATCCTCTTCTCGATTTTTCTATTATTCACCATCATCACTACCTTCCTCGCAGCTCTAAGAACATCGGCCATTTCACCAGTTCTTCATCCAGATGAATGTATGAGAAGATTCATTAGCTAGCTATTTCTTACAAAATCTTAAAATCACAGTCATAAAGGTAATCAAGAAATTTGCTTTTCTGGTCAAAATTTAATTATGCAGTAAAAGCGCTTGGAGAGATAGCTTCCACACTAGGTATCACGAGACTTAACCTACACTATGGAGACCCTTGCGCTTTAGGAGGACTAAAGATGGATGTTGCTCCGATTCTAGGGAGTGAGAATACCATTGTTTGTGATTGTAACATCAACAATAGCACCTCATGCCATATTACGAACATGTGAGTACTCGTCTTGTTGCTCTTCTACCTTCTCCTATAGATTTTCTCATTTTCTTTTATATTTCGATCCATGATTAACCATATATTCTCGTGGTTGGTCATCAGAATTCTCAAGACCCTCAGTCTTCCAGGAAAACTTCCACCGGAGTTGGTCAAACTTCCCTATCTCCGATCGATGTGAGTTCTAGCTATCACGAATCATTTACTGTATATAACCAATAGTTTGAGGTTTCAGTTTGCAGTGACAAATTTGGATATATATATATATATGTGAATTTTGTTTTGTGTTATGTTATATATGGTACTACAGTATATAGTATGTTTATCTTTTAAATAGAATACTTTTTGTTATGTTAATATTCATCAATTTGTTATGTTTATCCTTAAATAAGTTTTTCATCAATTTTTTTTATTTATAATTATGACAGTAAACCAAAAATGAGAATAAAAGGGATTTCTTAGCGTAAATGAAAATAAAAGGAGATTTTTTAGCGTTTTTACAAAAGATTTGTAATAATTTTGTATTTCTCTTTTTTTCGGCTAAATTAATTGAGATATTACGAAGTCATGATACATAGTATATGTCTATTCTTGCTCTTCTTTGAAGCGACTTGTGCCGAAACTACCTCTCTGGCTCTATCCCAATGGAGTGGGCTTCAATGCCACACCTCACTTTCATGTTAGCTCTCCCTCTCACTACTCTCTCTATATATATGTGTGTTGTTTCTTCATCTTCATGATTTGCAAGTAACTTTAACTCTTCTTGCAGCTCGCTCTGCGCCAATCGTTTGTCTGGGAATTTACCAAGTGGGTTACAAAACTTCAAGAATCTGACATTTCTGTACGTCTCTAACTGTTTCATCACCTGAAGGCATGTGCATATATAAATTACATCCAACATTACAGTAATGTGTATATGTGATGAAATTTTCAGAGGACTCGAAGCCAACCAGTTCTCTGGTCCAATTCCTGATGAGATTGGTAACTTGATCAACCTAGAAAAACTGTATGATTCTTCGCATATTAACTAGTTTACAAAACCACAATAATCTTTGGTTTTATCACTTTTATGGAAAGAGTACACTTGTAATATTTGCTAAAATTGGGTTTTACAGGCATCTTGCTTCCAATCAATTTACAGGAAGTCTTCCTAGCACTCTTGCTAAGCTGGTTAACCTTCAGGATTTGTAAGTTATTGTATATCAAATATTTTTGCCTTTGTAACTGCAAATGCTCATCTTTAATCATATCTAGCTTAGTTAAGATAACCTATAAACTAGTTCAAGAAGATTAAGTTTTATAAACCTCTAAAACTAGTTGTTAATTTTCATCCATTTATGTAGTAGGGTAAGTGACAATAACTTTGATGGCATCATTCCAGGGTATATTGGCAACTGGTCTCGGCTTAGAATTTTGTAAGCTTCTCTTTCACTGGTTATAGTAATTTTCTTTATAGTTTGTGTTTTTGCACCGTCTAATTTGCCTCGGCTATTATCAACAGATATTTACATGCAAGTGGACTGAAAGGACCTATTCCTACTAATATCTTCCGCCTACAAAATCTTACTGATGTGTAATTAACTTGTCTAGCTTTCAAACGTATATTAGTAGAGGGAAAATTGATTCAAGACTGATGTTTGAAGCCATGTATTTATATGCAGGAGAATTATTGATATGACCACTGAGATAAACTCCTTTCCATTTATACCAAGCAAAGCCATGGAAATCTTGTATGTATTTATCATCCATGCACTTCTCGTCTTCATGCTTGATTTTTATTAGAACTGATGAACTTAAGTCTCTGTCCCTGTTCCAGGATTTTGAGAAATATGAGTTTGTCTGGTCCAATCCCTTCTTACATCTGGAACATGCCAGTCCTAAGGACTCTGTAAGTTCTTTTATTTGTAATGTGTGAAAAGAATTTGTAAGTTCGAAAGTACTCTATCATATTTTTCTTGTTCTTTTTCTTGAAACTCTGTTATATCCATGCCTCCATGGTCTTATCATCTGTTTATCTTTACCATTAGCTGAATTAGTGAAACGCTAATTTTAAAAAGAACAAAAGCTACAAACATGCAATTTAATATGTTTTTTGTTTTGTTTTGCTGCAGTGATTTATCGTTTAACCAGTTGACTGGGGAAGTTCAATCTGCACTGAAGAAACCTCCCCAATATACGTAAGTACTAGGAGTTGAAGACCTTCTAATAACCATTGAGTATTAATACATTGTTTCAACATGTTTAGCTATTTGACTGGCAACATGCTTTCCGGAAACGTTGGATCTGATGTTTTCCTCAACAGTAAATCTTATATGTACGTTTCACGCCCTTACTCGTTTGTGTGGCTCGAGAAATTATACTCATGTTAGCTAATCATCTTCTTGGTTTTGTATATTTGGTGAATCTTCAAAGTGATCTCTCTTATAACAATTTCTCATACTCATCTAGCTGCCAGGACAAGAGGTATGAACATGAAATCATGGTAGATATATACTTACATATTCTTCCCATTAGTTTAGAATCTGCTTTTGTTGAAGTTTATATTCTCACGTTCTGTTGAATCAGTAACATAAACACATACCGAAGCTCCTACTTGAAGAACAATTTGTAAGCACACTCACTCTTCTATTTCATCATGCAACAAGAATGTATTAAACTTAGTAATCTGGAAACAGAAATTAGTTAAATGTCTCGCCTAGTGAGATGTCTCATTATTCCTCCTCATCTTCTTTTCCTACAGAACTGGACTTCTACCATGTTCTGGTCCAATAAAGTGCACGAGATGTAAGTGCATATTGATCCGTTAAACTGATCTCAACGATGCATTAGATAACATAATCATTTTTGTCTGCTCTGCTTACCATGTTTATACTCTCTCCTTTTTTCATAATAATAAAAATTGGCATCCTTAGTTTTTCGATTGATGGCGAAATTTTTTTGTTCATTGATTGTATAGATCAAAGCTCACTACATATAAATTGTGGTGGAGAAAGTGAGAATATTCCAACCTCTCTAGGTAAAATCACTTATCAAGCTGATAATAGTGAAACCAAAGCTGCTACAAATCAGCACTTTGAAAACTGGGGAGTTAGTAGCACTGGTTACTTGCCAAATGATATATACATCATTTCACCTAGTTTACCACTATCCGGAGATTCTCCTATTTTTTATAAGACCGCACGTCAATCTGCTCTTTCTCTATCGTATTATGCTTTTTGCTTGAAAAATGGAGCGTACAATGTGAAACTCCATTTTATGGAGATTCAGTTTTCAAACAAAGATCTATCCAGTAGTCTCGGTATACGCATATTCGATATTTATGTTCAGGTAAAGTGTAACTGTTTACTTAGTAGTTATTTTCGATAATCAAGCATGGAAGATTGAAGTTCATTTGATTCGACGGTTAGGGAGAATTGTTCGTGAAGGATTTTAACATCAAAGAGGATGCTAATGGGACTCTGAAGCCTGTCGTGAAAGAAGCCAACGCGAATGTAACTAATCATATGTTAGAGATTCGGTTGTATTGGGCGGGGAAAGGGACAACCCTCATTCCCCAAAGAGGAAACTATGGTCCTCTTATCTCTGCTATCTCCTTATGTCACAGTAAGTTTACTCTTCTCTTCTACTCGTTGAAGCTCCAAAATTTTTGACACTGGTTCCTAGTGCCACCTAACGCTAATATTCATCTTTCAAAATTTCAGGTCTCGAGCCACAATGTGGAGGTCCAAAGACAAAAATAAATAAATAAAAATAAACTACTTTGTTAAAGATATGTTTTCCTCGCTTAGAGTATAGATGATCTATCATGTATATTAGCATTAACACTTTTATTGTCTCCTCTGCAGCGGAGAAAACAGAACATCATACTAAGTATCCCTTAATTGTTGGGGTCACTATTGCTTCAGTAACAGTTGTTCTCTCAGCTATGGGAATATATGCATGGAAGAGAAGCAGAGGAGACAAGAACATAATAGAACGAGGTAACAGAGTTCACAGTGTATAAAGGGATTCCAAGAAGGTAATCCAATAGTTTTAGCCATTAGTAATGATTTTCTCTTGTGAACATGATGATCACATAGAACTGAGAGCGCAAGGTCTGCAAACGCTTTGCTTTACTTGGAGGCAACTGCAAGCTGCAACAAACAATTTTGATGAAGCCAACAAACTTGGAGAAGGAGGTTTCGGATCTGTATTCAAAGTAAGATGCCAAAATGTAAATAGACACCTGAGAAAGAAATAGTGTTGTTTTGGGTTTCTGATATGAGAAACATCATGCAGGGAGAGCTATCAGATGGAACTATCATAGCAGTCAAGCAGCTTTCTTCCAAGTCATGCCAAGGAAACCGTGAATTTGTCAATGAGATAGGCATGATCTCAGGGTTGAATCATCCAAACCTTGTCAAGCTTTATGGTTGCTGTGTCGAGAAAGATCACTTGCTGCTCGTGTATGAATACATGAAAAATAACTCCCTTGCTCATCCGCTGTTCGGTAAACAAAAGTGACTCAGCTTTTCAAGACATTTTAAGTCTAATTCATGTGCACATATATCTTACGTGACGTAATATCTCTTTGGTGTATATCATTGCCAGAAAAGGGTTCCTTAAAACTGGAATGGGCAGCAAGACAACAAATCTGTCTTGGAATCGCAAGAGGGCTTGCATTCCTCCATGAAGGATCGGCGATGAGGATGGTTCATCGTGACATAAAAACAACGAATGTGCTTCTAGACGCTGGCCTTAATGCAAAGATATCTGACTTTGGATTGGCTAGGCTCCATGAAGCAGAACACAGTCACATTAGCACCAAAATTGCAGGAACCATGTAAGTATAGAACATATAACGAAAACCGCAATCATGGCTGCAGAAACGTGTCATTCTTAGTTTCTCTAATATTGCTGCAGTGGTTATATGGCTCCAGAATATGCATTATGGGGTCAACTAACAGAGAAAGCAGACGTTTACAGCTTCGGGGTTGTGGCAATGGAAATTGTTAGTGGGAAGAGTAATACAAAACAGCAGGGAAACGTCCCGCTTATCAATTGGGTAACCGTGGAGATTTTTCTCTCTTGAGCCCATTCAATCCATGATCTGTTTCCATAAGTTTACTGAAACTGGTTTCTTACATCAAAACTCAGGCGCTGACGCTGCAACAGACAGGGGACATAATGGAAATCGTAGATGCAATGCTCAAAGGTGAATTCAACAACAATGAAGCAGCAAGGATGATCAAAGTTGCTCTAGTTTGCATAAACTCATCTCCTTCCTTAAGGCCAACAATGTCAGAGGTTGTGCAAATGCTAGAGGGAGAGATGGAGATACCCCAGGTTATGTCAGGACCTGGTTTATATGGACCAAACTGGAGCATCTCAAAGTTGAAGGAGATTGATACAGATGGTAGCTCGAGCAAGTTTGGTGTGACCGATCATCAAACGACAACAACAGTGAAATCCTCTGCTTCTGGTTCTGATCTCTACCCATTATACCCAGAATCCATGATCTTAAACTCCACAATAGAGTTCTCTTCCTCGTCATTGTAATATCAAAAGCTATGCACATTGCCTTGCCCCTAATTGGAGAAAAAAGGTTTGTGAAGTTATTTTAATAGTTATATCATTACAGTTGTTTGAAACCTTACTATTATATATCCAAAAACACATTTATATGAATGTTTATCAAACTTGAATTATTACATCGATTTCTCTTCCATGATATTGACTTAGATGGCATCCAAGGACACAAACGAGTAACTTGATGATCATTTAACCAAATCTCTAAAAACTTTATTGGTTCTATAAATGATATAGAACTAGATGGCTGTATAAAGTTTCGATACTCTCTATCTCAACTTGTTTCTATTAGAAAAAAGATTTTCAGAATATAGGAAAGTGATTAGTTAGCTCACCAGTAATTGTTGCATTGGCAGACACCGTCTTTGATTGAAGATCGAGGCCTTGAGTTAAGAAGCCTTTTAATAATCTCGACTTCCTCTTTGTAACCATAAGCCCGTTCTTTATTCTCCATAACCAGGATTAAAATACAATAAAACCTAGTGTCAGGAACATAACCCATTTCTTTCAGTTGTGACCTCAAACTCATTAGTGTCTCGTAAATGATCTTCGTCTCTGAATGTGAAGTATCTTCCGGTCTAAATATATACAGAGTCACAGCTCTGTGCCTCATTAATAAAGTCTGATGCTTTGGTTGCTACAAGACCTGCAGTTGCCACTTATCCAGTCTCGTGGCATCTAACTTCTCAATCAACTCATAACATCTATCTTCCAAGCTCTACATCTCCATGAACCAGAGAAAGATTCATCAGTAGTTCCCACTCATCAACACTCGGTTCCAAGTAGCCAGATGTAGCCAACATCTTGGTAACACTCTGATAATTTTACATGGAAGGTACGATTCTACAGTCTCTGCACATATATTGAAATTGCAATGATCCTTCGTCAACATCTCCTGTCAACGTACACGCAGCAAAGACTTCTTTGAATATATCTCCATCTGGTTTGTTCCCTTCTTGCTTGAAACGATTAAACAAATCGATTGCTGCTTCACTGTATCCGCTTTTAGCAAAACACCTCATCATAACACACCAAGTCTCCAAATTTCTTCTCAGGCATTTCGTCGAACACTCCCAATGCATCATCAACAGATCCACAAATAGAATACATTTCCACGATAACATTGCGAGATCTAATATCAAAAAAGGGGAAACCAGAGCAATGGTATACACTCACGAATTCCAAAGCTTCTTGTTCAATGCATACTTTTGCTAACCTTAAAAGTCTAAAACAAATCCATAGCATAACCCTTCTTCTCCAAGCAATTCAAAACCTCCACTGCTCCACAGCTTCTTCAGCCATTTCCTTGATCGCATAACGAATCGAAAGTCTCAACTGTAACATTTTGAACCAAACTTGAAGAAACTGTCCTGTGTTGCTCTTCGAAAATTGAATTCTGCGTCATGTGTGTCCTGTTACGTCTCGCTCAAGCAGAGTGGTGATCTTCGTGAGGCTATGTCTAACCTTGGTCTGATTTAATTTTACTCAAGTAATAGTAAACCAAAAGAATTAGGAAAGGTTTCTGTAAACCGGTTCGGTCAAGGCCAGAGAGACCAGTAATATTAAAACGCTGCGTTTTTAATGAAATTCACTCTAGCCACCAATTCCTCTTTCTCTCTCTATCTCTCCTAAATTTGGTTGGGTGCGGAGTGATCAAACTCTGTGTTGTGGAACTTGGGAGAACCATTCACTCAACAGAAAGACACTGAAGACTACCTTTCTCACCAAACAACTCTCTCTTCAACTCTAAAATCAGGTTTCTTCTTGTTCTGTTTCGTATATCTCTGATGTCAGCATTTCTGGGATTCGCGGCTACTAAATCAAAGTTCCAACATTTGATTAGTTTGTTGTTAATTTATCATCCGTGTCGATGTTGATTAGTGGGATAGTATTGATTTCTTAGACTATGTTTAAGTGCCCATCCCAAATCAAGGCTTGTTTCGTCGTCCTGTGAGGATACCCTTAAGCCTTAGCTATTATTGGTCCTGTGATAAATTTTCAGCTGCTTTAAGCCGTAGCTATAGGTGAACTATGATTACCCTAGGACTTTATTGTACCATATTTGTCTGCTTCAAGTTTGTTTAAGAGCATTTTGTGAGAGATGGGTCTCTACTCTGTCAGGGGCGGACCCAGAAAAAAAATTAAATGGGTTCAAAATGTAGCACATGACCTCAAACATAACATGGGGGCAGTTTAACCATTTTGACACTTATAACTTAATAGGTTTGTGGGTGCAACTGCCCCCACTTTCTTCTATGTGGGTCCGCCCCTGTAACTCTGTACTGTCTAGAATCTAGGACAAAGTCAACATCATTATAAGTAGCAATCTTTTGATGACTTGTATGTTTTGTAAAACTCTGTTACTAAGCTAAACCGGTGAATCTCTTTTCAGTTTACTCATTTAAAGACCTCCTTTTGTGTTATGAACATTTTCAGGTTGCAGAACAAAATCAATGGCTCTAGTGGTGTCAGGTGGCAAAGCAGCCACGATGCCACTACAGGCCAATGCTCTTCTTCCTCTATGTATCAAGACCAAACCAAGAGTCCTAAGTGCATCTGCATCTCCTCTTTTCTCACCAGCTCCTCATATCGCTGCCAGGTCCCTCTCCATCCGCCTCAAGCTGTCGCCGCATGTGGTATCTTCTGTTTTATCAGAGGACCAAGCTACTGGGTTTAGTGGCTCTGGGACAGATGCTTTCAAGCTGACATACCTGGAGGTGGGGTTTCTTCATTTAGTTGGGTCGTTTTAGGGATCTTTTACTACTTGGGTTTTTGTGTTTCTATTAGCAAATGCTGCATTGTATTTGATTATTAAATGTCTTCAAATTTGTGGGAGTCAGGGCAATAGCTGGTTATGGGAAACAAGTGGCTTGAAAATCCTGGTTGATCCGATTCTAGTTGGTAATTTGGATTTTGGAATCCCATGGCTCTATGATGCTGCCAAAAGATATTTGAAGGGCTTCAAGGTAACATTTAAAAACATGAAACATCATCAGCGGTTTCTATCATGGAATCTTATTAGTAATGCAGTTTCATCATGATTATGTCTCTCATTGTGATTGTAAGTTTCTAAAATTTATATTTGGTGCAGCTTGATGATCTCCCTGAAGTTGATTGTCTACTCATTACTCAAAGCCTTGATGATCACTGTCATCTGAACACCCTTAGGCCATTTTCTGAGAAATATCCAGGCATAAAGGTTATTGCAACTCCAAATGCAAAGCCTTTGCTGGATCCTCTTTTTAGAAATGTAAGTGACTTGCTGGCTTGTTTCATATTTGCTAGTCTTAACCTGAATTCCAGACTAATCTTAAAAAGTGAGAATGAGCTATATAAAGGGTTGCTGAACTATTACTGTAGGTCACTTATCTGGAACCTGGAGAAAGCTATGAGCTAAACGCAAGAAACGGTTCTAAGGTTCGAGTTAAAGCCACAGCAGGACCTGTCCTTGGTCCACCATGGCAACGCCCTGAAAACGGGTAAAAGAAAAAATTAACTCCCATCAAGCTTTCAATTCCTCCATTAATATGGTCTGCGACAACAACTTATAACCTGGTTATGTATATTTTGAGTTGTGCTTCTATTTTGTTCTCAGGTATCTCCTTGTATCCCCTGAAGATCAGATATCTCTCTACTACGAACCGCATTGTGTATGTAACATGGAACTTCTGAAGAATGAAAGAGCCGACATTGTAATCACACCGGTCATCAAACAACTTCTCCCACGATTTACTCTTGTTTCTGGCCAAGAAGACGCTGTCCAGCTCGCCAAACTCTTGGAAGCCAAGTAAACAATCATCTATCTTTTCTTTTCCCCGTTATATATCATGTAATCTCAAGAAAATGAATCAACAGTCTTGCTTTTTGTTTATCAATGGGTGTTTTCTTGGACATTTAGGTTTGTTGTGCCAATGCAAAATGGCGAGCTTGAAGCAAAGGGAATTCTAGCAAGCATAATAAAGAAAGAAGGAACGATGGAATCATTTAAGGTGCAGCTTTCTTAAAACCCCCAAAAATTATTGAAATCGAAATCAAATGTTGGTTCAACCTGGCTCAATGGTGATAAATGTTTTTGATGTTTGATTTTTAAATGCAGGAATTATTGTTGAAAGAGCTACCAAAAGCTCAAGTGTTGGAGCCTATAGCAGGTGTGCCGCTAGAGATCCTGACTCCATCTTCGGACATTTAAAGTGTGACAGTACAAACTACATGAGAGGATAGACAGATGTAAATAACACATGTGAAATAAAACTTTTTAGAGATGGATCAGTTGAAGATAAAATGTAATATATAGCTCTTGGAGAAGAAGAGGGATTGGAGATTTCAGTGATAATAGAGATTTTGGAGGTTTCAGTGATAATGCAGATTTTGTATGTGTTGAACTATTAAAGATTATAATTTATTATATTTTTGACAACATTTTAAAGATTATTTCATATGAGAAGGTAGATTTATAAGTAAAACAATGAATGAGGAAGGGATACAAATATATCAATATATAAGAATTATAGTGTTAGACGTCTTAAAGATATAGTTAGGGGTGTCAAAATGGATAACTCAACTCATTTGTTTAAATTGTCCTAACTTCGACCATGTCCTAACTTCGAACGGTTATTCGACAAATTAATTTTGTCCTAACTTTGACGATGTCCTCTACATTGAAGAAACTCATGTTTTCTTCAATAAACTCCAAAGATTTTTTGTGATCTCCTCTACAGAAATATTCTCGGACTAGTTTCAAGAAAGAGAGAGAAGAAAGATCCTCCATTCTTGTTATTATTTCTGCTGTAAAGCGGGAGGAGAAAAAAAAACAGAGTTTTTATATTCCCAAAAATAAAGAAATGACGAATCAAACTCGTCCACGTCATCTAACTATATAATTTTGTAATTTCTGATTTTTTTTTTTAAATTCCTTCCTCACATTATTAATCATTCTAGAAAATACATCCTTATATGAATTAATCTCCAAATAAATTAAACGGTTCACATACAAATATGAATGATCTTTCCACTTCTTCAAAATCTCCAAAATCTCAAACCTCCAAAATCTTTCCACTTCTCCACAAACTATCTCACGTTCAAAGTTCAGTGTTAAGATTACTATCTCTTTCGTGCTCAAACACTTGAGTTGCCTCCGTATTCTAAATGTGTTGTTTCTTTGAAATTTGTATTTCAAGTATGTTGCATGCGTCTGTATTTGTCTTCTAATAAAAAAAAAGCAGACATTTCTTTTATTTACGAATGATCAAAATTCCGAACCAAACCAAGTCTAAACAATTCTGAAACCATAAATCCTGAACAAGTAAACATAAAATTATATTCCAAATGGACCAGCATTCTGAAATTCGAAACTCGAATAATTCAAACTAAAAACCAACCAATTAACAGAATGCCATATGTATCCAAACAATATGTACTATTTCTTATAATTCATTAACAATAAAAGGTTATTTAACATACATAAAACTTTCAAAATATATGAGGAGAAATAATTGATGTTCTCAAAGACATTTTCTCTAACGGATGTTCGTTCTTGTCCAAATGCAATCTACAATTATTCGAGAAAATTTATTATATATATACAACTAGCTAGTTATATGGCGTAGAGCAAACTATACTTTCAAGACATATTTTCTCTTAATAAAGCGGGTGCACTGCACAGCACATCGATTCTTTTATAATGTGGTTAAATTGCTAGAAAAAAAAATTGAGTAACAAAGTGTTTTGGGAACATTAACAGAACAAATAATGTACAGTTTTAAATATAGCCGAATAAAAGGACAAAAAAATCCAAAATAAGCTGAAAAATATGAAGATAACCAATAATGCAACTTAAAACCCAAAGTATCTTATCTATAATCGAAGGATTACAAAGAGACTAGTGATTGAGACGTATACAACATTATCATAATGCTCTTAAACTTACTTGTGTGCGGTACAACATGTTTTTAAAAAATCATCGCATCCTAGATTTGAGTCCAAGAACCTCATTGATGATATATTAAAGATTATAAATGATTATATTTTTGACAACATTTTAAAGATTATTTCATATGAGAAGGTAGATTTATAAGTAAAACGATGAATGAGGAAGGGATACAAATATATCAAAAAGATAGATATATAAGAATTATAGTGTTAGATGTCTTAAAGATATAGTATAAGAGAAAATACAAAGATAGTAGTATCAGAATAGATTTCCGCCAAAAGTGAATCTACTAGGATTGGTGGCTCTGGGATAGATGCATTCAAGCTGACTTGCTTGGGGATGGGGATTTATTTATTTATATGGGTCACTTGAAGAATCTTTAGTACTACTTATTAAGTATTTGTGTATTTCCATAAGCAAATATTGCATCTTGCATGCTAACTTGGTTATTATGTCGTCCATTTTTGTGGGTGTTAGTTAGCATGCAATGGGATTATGGGAAGCAGGTGGATTAAAAATCCTAGTTGATCTGATTCTCCTGGCTAATTTGGATTTTGGAATCCCATGGCTTTTATACTTTTTGAAACTTAATTTCATGTAGTATATATTAAGTTATTAACCACTTTTTGTTAAAATAAATTTTAACATTACGTACTTAAATGAAAGAACTGAATCATACATAGGCTGTGAAACCAAGTTGGATTAGATTCTGAAGAAAGTTGATAGTAAGTTACTAAAGAAATAAGGAAAAAGATCAGTCAACATCATTGCAGAAAAAGTTGTATATGATTAATGGAAATTAGTAATCCATTAGTAAATCTAAACGATAATTAATTTGACGCAATTTTCCAAAGGGAAGAAAAATCATTGCATGCAATTCTAAAAAAAAGTGCTAATTCCCAATTAGTTATGGGTTAAATAAAAAATAAGAAAAAGAAATTGACATGCAAATTAAAAATTAAAAAACCCAAAGCATAGATGTTATGATGATGAGAACGAGTTGGTCAAAAATCGTTATACAACATTATGAGAATCCATCATATCATAATCCATTCATCATCCCTAGAATCTTCACAACTTGTGCTCTCCTCTTTTGTAGTTTCAGTAAAATTTTCATTATAAACATCATCATGTTCCTCCCAACTATACTCTGCCACTGCTGAAGAAGAGTAGGAGCCAGATGAGTCATTTTTGCTGTTGGAAGTAGCTTCAGAAAGAGCATTCTCGGCAAGCTCTTCCCTCCTCTCAAGCTCCTCTCTAAGGCGAGCAAGATCTAACCGTGTTTCCATATCCTGAAGACGAGCCTTCTCGGCAAGCTCTTTCTTCCACGACTCCTCTATAAGGCGAGCACAATATACCCGTGTTTCTATATCGTGACGACGAGCCTTCAGCTCAGACTCAGAGAAAAGTTCCCTGGCAGGACGACTCTTAGCGTCAGTAATTAAGATCGTAGTCGCCTCACTGTCCTCCTTCGTGCACGAAGGAATCTCTCTCTCATCTTTCTTCAAAGGCTTTGTGGCCTTGAACACATACTCGCACATGGAAGTCAAAAAAGAGAAAAGCGAAGTAATCACGGACTCCCCCATGGTGAAGATAAACTGAGAAGAGCGACGTTTAGTGTATAAAAATATAAACCTAGCTAGACAAGTGTTTTTATTTTTATACTAGCTTGTTAGGAGTAATTCGATATATATAGTAAATAGAAGATATTCTTGCTGTCAAACAAACAAAAAACTAGAAAATATATTCTCAAAACAATATGAAAATATCTACTATATAAAAAAATATTCAAATAAAATTAACGAAATCAATAAAACAAAATATAAAACTTGTTTTAAGATTTTGAGGTAAATTTGTAACAACCAATGTAAATGTGTAAAATAACGAAACATTGAGTCCGAGATTCCTGAAGGAAAAAAAGACTCCATGTTAATATCCTTGCGATCACACTATTTTACATCATTTATTTAACATAAACAGACTCAAAAAAACCTAATAATATTTGACATCACTTATCATATGTGATGCTATAAGCCTATAACTATACACGGTCTACATCATCAATTAAATAAGCGGATGCAGCCATGCAGGTTATTCCTAGATACTTACTTCCTTTAGTATCAAATCAAGTTATTAACCATTTTTTTTTTGTTAAATAATTTAACGTCACGTACGTATTTAAATCAAAGAAGTGATACATAGGTTGTAGAATATATTGAATCTTCAACACTGTATGCAAACCAAGTTAAGATTCGGTTCTGAAGAAATTTGAGTTAAGTTAATTAACCAAAGAAACAAGGAAAACATCAGTCAGTAACATTTTTCTTACATTCAGAAGTAATCCATTAATAATAGTGTTGCCATTATTTACGTTTCTCTAAATAAAAAACGAGTCGCTTGAGAGAAGACGATCTTACCAATGTCCATAAGGAAGTAACTATAAATAAGTTATAACTAAATTTTCGCAACCTGTTAATTTCGAGTGCGTGGCCGGTGGCTCAGTAGTCAGTATAGAGCTTATTTACATAACAGAACATTGGTAAATCGTAAGTGATTTGTTTCATACTTCCTAGGTATGCATAATAATATTATAAATATATAAGAATATGGTCTACGATGACAAATAATAATCAGGTTATGCAAAAAAAAAAAATATTTTCTAAATTCTAATCTATAAGAATATATGGTCTACGATAACAAATAATACATTCAGGTTATGCATATTTGAGTTCTGCTTCTATGTTGTTCTCAGGTATATATCTCCTTGTATCCCCTGAAGATCAGACATCTCTCTACTACGTACGAACCGCATTGTGTATGCAACATGAAACTTCTGAAGCATTAAAGAGCTGATATTATTTTACCAAAAAAAAAAGAGCTGATATTATAAATTACACTGGTCGTCTAACAACTTCTCCCACGAGCGTACGTGATGCAAAGGGAATTTTAGCAAGCATAGTAAAAAAAGAAGGAACGATTATGAAATCATTTTATGGTGCGCAGCTTTCTCTCATTGTTAAAAGAGCTACCAAAACCTCAACTGTTGCAACCTACAGCATGCATGTGCCGCTAGACATCTTGGCTCCATCTTCGGACACTTAATATAATGTTATTAATTAGGAATAACAATACTCCATATTAGAAATTGAATATGATCTTAAATGGTATATATATATGATATGAGTATCTTAACTCATTATCAATTAGTTTTAAGTTAGAACTTCATAGTCTAATATAGTATCTATGCATTGTCCATTCCATCCACTATTGGTATAACACAAATTTGGTCCACCGATCTTTGCTAAAACATGCCAAGATTTACGGCTAGAAGAGCTATCATCGAGGGGCGTATTAGAAATATAATCATCATATATGGGTTCAATGTATTCGGCAAGACTACTTTTCAATATGGCTGAACTGCTGGCATCCGATTTGTATTTAAGAAATCCCTACGCAAAGCAAAAGATGGTTTATCTTATCTCGAGGATTCTGACTTTGAAGAATTGGGTTTTGCATTTAACAAAGAAAATGAATAACTTTTAGACTCATACATAACTATTGAAGAATGTCAAGAAGGAAGTGCCCCAAATTTGTTTGTTATTTGTAGTATGTAAATTGTTTGGACGGCCCAATCCACACAATTTTTTTTTTTGCAACTATGATTTTTTTTAAAAATAATTTTAGATTTTTAATCATATTTTATTTTATGTACCTAAATTTTTTGTAACTTTTCTCTACGAGGATCACTCTTTTCATTAAAAGAAAATGTAGCTGTTAACTAACAAAAAAAAGTTTTAAAAGATGTATCTTTGATTAAATTTTATATATTAAAATAATTAAGTATAATTTTAGCTGATAATAAGAGATTAAGTTTTTGACCAAACTAAAATATTTAAGTTTGGGAACACTCACAAATAAATAGTATAGCCTAAAAAAATAGTCTAAGAAAGAATTGAAATCTGATAATGAGCAGTACATATACAAAGTTATAGAAATACTTTGTAAAGAAATATTTGAGTTATACAGTAAAACCTCCATAAATTAATACTCTATAAATTAATAAACACTATAAATTAATAAATTTTGCTGGTCCCAAGTCAGGCCGGTGTAAAAATTGACGAAATTCGATAATATAATAAGATAATAATTATTCTGACATCTCTATGTAAAATATAGTCCCAATAATATCATAAATTAATAATCACTCTATATATACATATAAGTAGATATATTAATATATGTTCTTAGTTTTTTTTTGTAAAAATAAATTTTCTCCTAGAGTTAGTATTTTATGTTAGTATTTTTAAACAATAATCTTGTAATATATACCATCACAAGTCATAAAAATAACCAAATTTTCTTTATGCTTTCAATTTTTAAATATGCATCATATTATTGACAAAACAATAAATATGCATCATATTCACTTTTATATAGGATGTTAAAATATAAAAATTGAGGTTATTAATATACATTTGAATTTATGTATATCATTTGTGTAAGTGAATTTATCTATAATATCTGTATTTACAGTCAAAATTTTTTTTTCCTAAATATAGTATTCACTTTCAAACTACTGTATAATTTATAAAATTTAAAAAAATAGTCTTATTTTTGTAAAATTGTATCAATTCATAATTTTTTAAAATTTGAAAAACTATAAATACCACTATAAATTAATAATTATTAATTTACACTATAAAATAATAAATATTAATTTATAGATAAATTAATATCACTATAAATTAATAAAATATCTTGGTCCCAACATTATTAATTTATAGAGGTTTTACTGTATATAACAGAAACTTTAGTTTGATTTTAATTAGTGAAATGTTGTATATTCTTTTCTGTTTTTTTTTAAAGAGAAAATCATACGCTCAATTTCAAGAACAGAGACATGATTATATTAGAAACCCTTGAAAAAGGGAAATTAAAAACATAAAGTCAAAGAATTTGTCTGTCTGGAAATGAAGAAAGGATCTAATTAGTATATAACCAAAGAAAAAGACCAGTCAACCTAAGAATCTTCTTGATATCACACAGAAAGAAGAAGAAAAAAAAAAAGAGAAAACAAATAAATTAAAAGAAAAAAAAATAATCTGAAACGCGGTTTCTACGATTATTGGAGAGTCAAAACCAGGCATGGTGTTGGTGAGAGAGTCTAAAAAAATCGATCGAAAGCTCAAAAACTCTATCTTTCCCCACGAACCCTAGATGAGTTTGTAATCGTCAATCATTCGATTTCAAGATTTAGTCTCAAAGGTTTTATTTTTGTGTGTGTGTCTCAAATGGAGAATCGTAAAGGTGGAAACTTTAGCGTATCTAGCTCAGAAGCTTTGACCACGACGCTCCGTAATGCGATCCAAGCTCTGGGTCGTGGTTTCGATGTTACCTCTGATGTTCGGCTTCTCTACTGCAAAGGAGCTCCTGGGTCAAGACTTGTCCGTATCGAAGAAGGACAAAACAGAGATCTTGAGTTGTCTGATGGATATCTTCTTCCTAATGTCCCAGCTGATATTGAGTGTTCACGAGGCAGAAATAGTATTCAACGAATCCCTGTTTGCAGTTTCCACCAGGTGATTTTTTTCAGCGGTTTTTGCGTAACTTTCCCCCAATTTTTTTTTGAAATGCCATTGTTAGATTTTAGCCCATATTATTTTGTCTTTGTCTTTGATTACGCATCTACAGTTAGATGTTGTCTGATCTGTGTATTTGTTGTGGAATCACTAGCTCATAGGACCCTGATTGACTTTGGACTTTTCTAAATTTGGAAGCTTTACATTTGAGTTTTAACTTGACGGAGGCAATTGTAGTTTGATCAAGTCAGGAGCTTAGAGAAATCTCTATATAGCTGTATCGGGTTTTGGTGCTGATCAGTACTGTTTCTTATATTGGTGTTCTTGGTTTATTTGGTTTTCTGGTAAAGATTGGTCTGTGGAGGTCAAAATGAGTTTTGAGGTTTAGGTATGTCTCTGTGGATTTGTGGAACCACTAGCTCATAGGACCCTAATTAACTTTGGACTTTTCTAAATTTGGAAGCTTTTACGTTTGAGTTTTAACTAGACTGAGGCAGTTGTAGTTTGATTAGGTCAGAAGCTAGGGAAAGATCGGAACAGATATAGCTGTATCGAGCTTTTGTGCTGATAAATGCTGTTTCTTATATTGGTGTACTTGATTTATTCAGTTTTCTGGTAAAGATTGTTCTGTGGGGGGTAACTGAGTATCGAAGTTTAGGAGTCTCTGTGGATTTTTAATACCACTAGCTCAGAGGACCCTAATTGACTTTGGACTTTTCTAAATATGGAAGATTTACATTGAGCTTCCACTTGACTGAGGCAAATGTAGTTTGATCGAGTCAGAAGCTTAGGGAAATTTCAGAATATCGGGTTTATATGCTGATCAATACTGTTTCTTATATTGGCGTTCTCTCTTTATTCGGTATTTGGGTAAAGATTGGTCTGTGGGGGTTAAAAATGATTATTGAAGTCTAGGTGTCTCTCTAGAAATTTTTTTATGTGGCTTCTGGTTATTCAAAAGATATACCTTTTTTGGCAGATGGCAGAATATTTCAATGAGAGATCAGGTGTAAAAGGGAACATACCACTCGGATGCTTTAACGCAATGTTCAATTACACGGGTTCTTGGCAAGTCGATGCAGCATCCACAAAATCTCTTGCTCTTGTTGGATATTTTATCCCGCTTTATGAAGTCAAATTGGCAAAGCTTACATTGGTATTGCACAACGAGATCAGACGTGCTGTTCCTTCCTCATGGGATCCCGCTTCCTTAGCTAGGTATAATCCACTCTTTAATTCACCATGTTTTCCGTCGTTCTGTAAATTCTTGTCTAGCTGTTTATAATCTCTATGTGAATATGGCATCAAGAAATGTTGATACCAGTGGAATGCTTGGAAACTGATTTTTAGTCAGTTTCTTCTTCTTATCTTGAATGAAACCCATAATTTATGTAGCCAAATGAAGAAAGGACTTTATAAGTGGTGAAGACAAATTTTGCTGAGTGTTATAAATCTAGAAACCTTTTCTCTTTCTGCGGTTTCAAATCTTGGAAGCTACACTTGAATGTGATTCTCGTTGACATTTATCATGATCCTTATGTGGTTTCTCCACTTGTTTACTCTTTGGTACAGCTTTATTGAAAATTACGGCACTCATATTGTAACTTCGGTGACCATTGGTGGAAGAGACGTAGTTTACATTAGACAACATCAGTCTTCTCCTTTACCGGTATCTGAAATCGAAAACTATGTGAATGACATGATGGAGCACAGGTTTCATGAAGCGGAGAGTCAATCTATTACCGGCCCCTTAAAATACAAAGACAAGGTTAGTACAACATCACGGGCCATGGCGAGAGTACTCTGGTTAAAGAAATTAATTCCCTCTAAGACTATGGTTAAACGAAGAATATTAGCTGAAAAAGCTCTCTCCTGTAGGATATCACAGTAATATTTAGGCGTAGAGGAGGCGACGATCTTGAGCAAAGCCATGCTCGATGGGCTGAGACAGTACCTGCAGCTCCAGACATTATCAACATGACTTTTACTCCTATTGTTTCTCTGCTTGAAGGTGTGCCTGGTCTGCGGCATTTGACTCGTGCTATCGAACTTTACTTAGAATGTGAGTTTCTATCAAAATATTTGAGCTTCTTCATATTCGAATCCACCTGTTTACACTCTCATAAACATAACAAACCTCTTGATGTTCTTACCAGATAAGCCTCCTATTGAAGATTTACAATACTTCTTGGATTTCCAAATAGCTCGAGCTTGGGCTCCCGAACAGAGTAACCTCCAACGTAAAGAACCTGTTTGTCCTTCTCTTCAGTTCAGCTTAATGGGTCCCAAACTATTCATCAGTGCCGATCAGGTAACTCAGAGCGACCAATTCTTTTGTTTTGTTCTGGTTCAATTTATGGATGAACTAAGCATATTGTCCTTGGGTATTTTCAGGTAACGGTTGGGCGTAAACCAGTCACAGGTCTCAGGCTGAGCTTAGAAGGAAGCAAACAAAACCGTCTCTCCATCCATTTACAACACTTAGTCTCTCTCCCCAAAATCCTGCAGCCGCATTGGGACTCTCACGTGCCAATAGGTGCACCGAAATGGCAAGGACCAGAGGAGCAAGATAGCCGCTGGTTCGAGCCAATTAAGTGGAAGAACTTCTCTCATGTAAGCACCTCGCCTATCGAACACACTGAGACCCACATCGGCGATCTCTCGGGTGTTCACATTGTCACCGGAGCTCAGCTCGGGGTTTGGGATTTCGGATCAAAAAACGTCTTGCATTTGAAATTACTATTCTCTAAAGTCCCCGGTTGTACAATAAGACGGTCCGTCTGGGACCACACTCCGGTTAGTTCCTCAGGGAGACTGGAACCCGGAGGTCCATCTACATCGAGTTCGACCGAGGAAAAGAAAGAGGACGTGTCAGGACAATCAGGGAAACTGGCCAAGATCGTGGATTCGTCAGAGATGTTGAAAGGACCAAAGGATCTGCCTGGACATTGGCTTGTCACTGGAGCAAAGCTAGGCGTGGAAAAGGGTAAGATTGTATTGCGTGTGAAGTATTCGTTGCTAAATTATTGAGAGATTTAGATGAGTTCTTGTTTTCCCGGCGGCCGGAAATATTATCCCGTCAGCATTCTTTGCACAGCGAATCTTTCTTGTACATGTGTCGGTTGCTTATGGGAACCGTTCAGTTTGGTTCGGTTTCTACATTAGATTGGTTTGGTTTTTTGGTTTTGGTTGAATTTTTGTCCGGTTGGGTTTTGTAGACAATTTTAATTAAATCAGAGATGTAAATATGTAGTTGGACTCAACACATGGTCGATGTACGAGCGTTTCGTGACACGTTTCTACGACATTTACATGCCATGTATCGTAATAATAGTTAACAAAATGTACATATAATCGAATCAAGAAACCAAATACTAAAATGCAAAATCAAAACTGGAACAAAGAAAAGGAAATCAAGAATGGCTTCGAGCGGCGGCGAAGATCAGGTGCCTCCTGGAGGTCCGGTGACGTTTTCTACACGTCTGATTGATGCTGGTTCGACGATCATGCAGCGGCGATTACCGGTGAAGCAGATGAACTGTCATGTCTCTACTTTTTCGATATATGGAAGTGACATGTCCCGGCAAATAGAGACTCACCACTACGTCCACCGAGTCAACGACGAGTTCCTCCAGTGCGCGGTATACGCCTCTGATCGTTCCGATGCACCTCTCATCGGTACTGTGTTTTAACTTCTGAGATGTTATTTTTTACGCTTAAATCGAATGCCTAATTTTGAAAATCATGTATAAGAAAGTTGTTTAAAACAGGAATTGAATATGTAATATCGGACCGATTATATGAAAGTCTGCCTCAAGATGAGCAAAAGCTTTGGCACTCTCATGCTTACGAGGTTAAGTCAGGCTCGTGGGCTTATCCACGATTGCCTGAGGTTGTGGCTGCTCCAGAGCTCAAGAACATGGCCAAAACGTATGGAAAGTTCTGGTGCACCTGGCAGATAGACCGAGGTATGTCTCTGATCTAAATACCGGGGCGTTAAACCGTTTCTTTTAGATAATAATACACCCATTAACCGTATGGTTAAACAATTAAGTTCTCCCGATTAATCGGTTAAAACAGCAAACATTAATTAGTATCAAAAAATTTATAGTGGTGAAGTGGGTTCGATTTTGTTTGGTCTATTTTGGTCAGCCAATCATTGATCATTGTGTGTGTTTGTTTCTCTAGGTGACAAGTTACCAATTGGTGCACCCGAACTGATGATGTCACCCCAGGGGGTGGGGGAAGGGGTACTAAGGCCGGAGTTGGTGAAGAGAAGAGATGAGAAGTACAACATTTCGACTGATGATTTGAAGCACAAGAGGGCCGAGATTGCTGAACCGGAGTGGATCAATCCGATGGCTGATTACTGGAAGCAACATGGTAAGTGTTTTGTTCTTGATATCATGTCTGTCGAAATGAACCGTAACGCTCAATTTCCGTGAACAATGTCCTCTCATTGCTCGCTTGTATGAGTGATGACTGATGAACCAGTGTAGAAATTGTGCTATATATGTAAATCAGTAATATATATAATAATGTTTTACTCCATTACATTTGTGTCAAGAAGATAGTAAAAAAGCAGTACGGTACACACAAAAAAAGATCACAAATTGGTTTGTGGAACTTTCATTCTTATTTTACTATGTTTCTTCAAAGCCGTGCCAACCTTGAAATATCCATAGGGTAAGCGTCCGAAGGCGATTGTGCGTTGTATGATCTCCTTGCGATAATCACATTTGCAGCTTCGGTCGGGTGAAATGAGTCCCAGAACACATACGCGTTTCGGTTGTTACAGGGTCTTTGTCCCGGTAAACATGTGATTTGACCAGCATTCCTCCCGATACCACAACATCCTGCATTCGTCACCCTAAACCCTGAAAAGAACAAAAAGCATTTCCGACAAAACCAATATCAAGTTCGGTTTCTTTATCACTGAAAAGAAAACCACGCTTGTGTGTACATACCAAATCTAGAGGGGTTTGTGATCATGTCCTGGAAAATGCCATAAGCATTGATGTAGATGAACTTTGCATCAGGATGATTGTTGTTGAGCTGATCAACGAGCGATCGGAGCTTGTTGTTGAAGATCTGGTTCGCTGAGTTGATGCGGTCTACGCAAGTCCTACCATCACGGCTGCCCGAGAGCGCATTCGGACTACAACCGATTGCTCCAATTCCGCTCAATGCAAACTTTCGTGCCCCATAATTGTATAGTGCCTACACAACAAAACCCACCAAAAATTGATAGTGAAATTAGTAAGTCTCCCAATACAAATTTTACAAAATTAAAGAAATTTCACTACTCATTCTTTAATATTATTCGTTTCCATAAAACAGGGTTTAATCTAAAGCCGGAATTTATACAAGCTAAGGCTAGAAACTTATCGGATTGGGTATAAATTTATTGGTATGATACCTTAACTTGTACTATATATTTCTACTTTTGTCATTCTCCGCCCAAAAGAAATATTTTCATGTTAAAACAAAAATCGCATTTTCATGAGATGGGGCATAATAGGAAATTATAAGTTGGACCAAACCCATATCTAAAAAAGTAAATGAGTCAATTCGATGGAGCCAAACCTTTTCAGTTTGTATTAATTAAAGATCTAATGACACAAACAGAGATAAAAGAAGCCATAAGTAAAGAAAAACGTACATTGAGCTGAGTGCTGTAACGACTGATGAGATCGTTGGCATATTGTTCGGGAGTGAACTGTCTGCTAGAAGAGTAAAAATTAGGCATGAAGTAGTTGTTGAGGTAATCGTTGCTTCCTAAACCAACAGAGTAGATACATCTCTTGAGGTAATCAGCTGCACTAGCCTCGTCTCCTAGCAGCTGCACGACTTGTGATACCGTGTTCTGGTAGTTCCTAACTTGCCCACTAAAGCTTATCCTTTGTCCCTTTATTTTCCAAAAAAAAAAAAAAAGGAACAAAAAATGGTTAGAAAATTTACAATGAATGAATGAATTAGAGAGTTATTAAGAGAAAATGGTTTTTTAATAATGTTTCTAATTACCAATTGTCGACCGGTTTCTTCTCGGATTCCAGCTGCTGCTGATGCGTAGTTAACACCGGAGAGTATTTGCCGACCACTGACAGAATTATACGCAGGAATGTAGCCATTAAATCCGAGTAGCTCAGCTTCATTTAATCACCAAGAAATATCAAAACCATGTTAGATTATGACTATTAACATATAAATCACGTAGACTATGTATATAGCTACTTAGTTATATGGAGAAGATAGTTGTAACAAAGTATATGCATACCGATCTCGTCAACGGTAGTCTTGCCGTTGGAGAAACGGCCGGTAGGGCCGCCAAAATCGATACCGTAAGGGAAGTAATTGGCTCTTGCAAAAGAAACAAGACCGTTGTTGTTTCCATTGTCAACCAAAGAGTCACCAAAAACAAAGAAACATGGAACTTGAGCTTGTGGTTGTGCTTTTACTAAACTAGAACCGAAGCTCAACAACACAAACACTAGACACCATTTGCTTAAGTAACTCTCCATTTCAAAGTAGTAAAGAAGATTGTTTGATAATGGACAATGCAGTGAATGTGAGTGAATGTCCAAAGAAGTTGTGGGTTTATATATATAGAGAGATATTTGTGATTTTTGTAGATTTAATTTTTGTAGGGCTAGTCACTTTAAGATTGGTGGGTCCAATAAAATGTGACTTACATACATATTTCTCATTCGTTATTAATCTAAAATTAAGATGTATTAAGGGCTTATTTTTTATCCAATTATATAAAACTTGCAAGTGCCGACACACACTAAAACATCATTACTACAAGGAAGAGGAACTACGTAGAAACAAAAACATTGGAGAGTAGGATTTATTTCACCGATACTTCGATCACTTATGGCCTTTATCGACCAAGATCTTTTCAGTCATGACTCATGAACCATATACCAAATAATAATTTTTTGCTACCATTGATATTTATTGTTAACCCTAATTGTAGCTGGTTACTAATCAAGAAGAGAAGATATTTTGCAGTAGAATAATCTGATTGAAAGAAAAAGTCGTATCTAGGTTTGACAAAGCCACTTGTGCTTCTCTGAACGTTGACCAGCTGTAGTGTTTTTTCCGCGTACAAAATCCTAACTTTTGTCCATATTAATGCACCAATTAAAAAATATATATTATATATACATAAGTAAGAGAAATAAACTCGTGTATTGTTTTGGTGTCACTAGGCTTGTGTTGTGACTACGTAGTATATAAATATTATCTATAAAATGAAGATATCCCAATTATTAGAAATGGTGAAAAGAAAACAGGTGAGGAATTAGGTTTGGGTATTAAATGAAAGGTGGATTGTTTGTGACCAAATCAACGACTTTAGTTTGTATCATAATTGAACAAGGCCGGTGGTGAGCTTCTTCCACATGTTCCCTCCCAACTATTTCCATTTAAGATCGTAGGTTCAAGCTCTTAGCTTAGGTTACTCTACATTTATTATATTGTATTATTGCATGATTTCAGGTTAATTAATTCTACTCAAAACTCGAACATGTTAGTGGTTTTTTTATTGTTTCGACGTACTATTCTACTTTATATGATCTAATATGAAGTTTCCATACATGAATATGTTGATAAACGAAGAAATAACGAAATAAATCTTGAAATCTTATTCAAGACACCAAGTCACTTACTAATGTACAAACATTTCACACTTTCAATAGTTTATTATGCATATATTTGTAAAGATGAACATAAAAATACGTCTATACAAAGATGTATTCAAGATTCAACCGAATATAATGGATGGGAAAAAAAAATTTGGATGGAGATACTCACAAAAGTAAGTGATGGGTCATATTCTTTTATTTATAAACAACTTCAAATGCCAATTATTTCACTAATCACCTAACGATGATGGATAAATTCGTTGTTAATGACATCAATATTAGAGAATTATATTTCACTTTCACTTTATAAGCCTGAAAACTTGACCTTTGTGGAGAACTTCTACTACCTAGATTCTTTCAGAATACAATGCATTTCTTGAAGTTATATACGAAGACAAATAAAAAAAAAACTGTTATATGCATTGTATTGTGACATATTTTAATCTCCAACAACAATAAACAACAATTGATCTAACAGATTTTCAAGATGATTAAAAATACACACGTTGTCAACAAAAAAAATGTTTAAATTTATATGATCTATAGTATTTCAGTCGTGAATTTGCAAAAAAAATTATATACATGATAGCTGACAAAACAAAATTGTGAAATTGACATATTCAATCTTACGTATTGTTATTGCAGAATATACAATACCAATGGTTGACTCATTATCGTATTTATATCCATTTTAAAGTAAATTGGAATGATGTTTTTGATTGGATAAAAAATTAAAGATATCATACAATTAACTAGTTATTATCAACAAATATTGACTCTTTTTAAGATATCTAATATTTCTTTTATTATGTATTCATTCTTGATGCTTGCATACCTAGTAATTTATCCATATACTACTATTGACATCATTTGTACAAAATAATTTCCAAAAACATGGACAAATGTAAGTCTTGTATTATACAATTTTCTAGGTTTTGAATCAACTTATAACATATTTTGAATTTATATCAAGATGAAAAAATAGATTTGACTATTTAAAGTTTTTGGCTTAATATAAATATTTTTAGAAATATTATAGTAGAAATTTATTAGATGTTTTTTAGAAGTTTGGATATTACTTAAAGTCGAATCATGTGACATAGGAAATATTTTGGTTTCTTTTTAATTCATTTTTCTACATAAGATACATGTATTAATATTTTATCACTCGTAAATGCCTAATAGAGTAATAGCTATCCCAAAATTGAAAGAGAGACGACCTGTGTCCAGTCTTAGTCGTTACTCACTACTCATTAGTATATAAACTATTAAATATTAATCAAGCATAATAAAACAAGTTTAGTTTTTTTTTTTTGGTGAGAAAAAACAAGTTTAGTTAATTAAAGGGAAAGATAAAACAAGTTTAAATATATAATTAATATATATTTTGAGAGATTGATATCGCAGTCGAATGGGCTTGATTGATAGCTATTGGGCTTAGTTCATCTATCCCGATAGAGAATGTAAATATTACGTAATCAAATAACGAGTTTTACGTAACATGCTTCCGTGACCTCGTAAAGACTTAATTAGAACCCAAAATGTAAATATGAATGAGTAGGTAAACAATTATACTTTTCAAATGCAAAATGAAAGTGATGAAGAGATGCGCCACGTCCTTACCTCTTACTCTTTAATTTAATTAGATTTTTCCGAAGAGGATACACGATTACAAAAACAAAAGGAAAAAAATAAAACTTTGTGGAAGTAACTCATTTTTTTCTTTCTTTTGAATAAAGTAGAGCAATTTGGGTAAACACTTAACTTTTCAGAATCATATCCAAGAATTCAATTTAGAATCTGAAAAAGTTAACAAATTGTTTCTCTCCCGTATTCTCAGGTCTTCTCAAAGCTGAGCCAGTTGCGAGATGTCATACGGATAAACATCGGAAGAGGATTGCGCATTGTAAGATCTTTGTGCAATGACAGTGTTAGCTGCATCTGTCGGATGAAACGCATCCCAAAACACGTACTCATTTCGGTTCTGGCACGGTGGTTCTCCCGGTAAACATGTTAGCTGCCCTCCGTTCCTTCCAACTCCACAACACGCAGTGTTCGTTATCCTAAACCCTAAAAAAACATTCATTAACCCAATGTATCATTATATATTACAAGAAAATATACATTTTGTTACAGACTTATTAAAGGTTTATGAAGATTTCTCTATACCATAAGCAGAAGGATTAGCGATAATGTCCTCGAAAGCGCCATAAGCATTGATGTAAGTGAACCTAGCATCGGAATGATCGTTGTTGAGTTGTTGTACCAAGGACCTGAGCCTGTTGTTGAAGATTCTGTTGGGGCCGTTGAGACGTTCCACACAAGTTGTTCCGTCAGGGCTCCCCTGTGCGAGCGCATTCGGGCTACATCCGATGGCTCCAACTCCTACCAATGCAAACTTTCTAGCTCCATAGCTGTATAGTGCCTTCATAAACACACACAACAAAGAAAGATTGTGAAATAAGGAAAGAAAAAAACAGAGGACTTCCAAAATTACCCCATAGCTTCATGGAATTAAACATCAGTTAAAGTCAAGAAAGCTTACATTGAGCTGGTCCCTGTAACGAGCGATAAGGTCTTCAGCATACTGTTCGGGACTGTACTGTCTGCTAGTGGGGTAGAACTGAGGCATGAAGTAGTTATTAAGATAATCATTGCTTCCCATACCAATAGTGTAAATGCATTGCCTTAGGTAATCTGCTGCACTGTTCTCGTCTCCAAGAAGTTCCACCACTTGAGACACTGTGTTCTTATAATTCTCTACTTGCCCACTAAATGTTATCCTTTGTCCCTTCATTCCCAAAACAAAAACAAAACAAAAAGTCTCAATTTTTCCCTAGTCTTAAAATTAGAAACAGAGAGCCAATTTAGGAAATGTTGCTCTGTTTTACCAATTGTGCACCAGTTTCTTCTCTGATTCCAGCAGCTGCAGATGCGAAGTTGACTCCTTGAAGTATCTGCTGACCACTAACAGTACTATACGCAGGAATGTAGTTATCAAATCCGAGTAGCTCAGCTTCATTATATCACAAGACATGTCAAAACAAGATTCATGTTAGATTCTTCTGACTATAACATTTCAGTCTCACTCTAGTTTAGTTAGATTAAGTGAGTGTATAGTAAATTCCCAAAGCATTTGTGTCTTTAAGCAGAAGAATATAACATAATTAAGGGTTTAAACGTACCGAGGACATCAACGGTGGTTTTCCCGTTGGAAAAGCGGCCGGTAGGGCCGCCGAAATCGATGCCGTAAGGGAAATAGTCGGCTCTTGCAATAGAAGTAAGACGGTTGTTGTTTCCATTGTCAACCAAAGAGTCACCAAAGATGAACAAACATGGAACTTGAGGCTCTGCTTTTACCTTAAACCCTAGACCTAAAAACAAAACACATAATGACACTAAACAACATTTCTTCAAGTAACTCTCCATTTGATCTCACAAACCAATAAAATTTTTATGTATAGTATATAACACAATGATTTGGTGAGATAAGTGTTTTATTTTTATTGATTTTAGGACATGTATGTGGTATACTGGTAGTTGTGGCGAAGTGTGAAGTATCCTGCAGAGCAGTTTTGAGTCTATATAAGGAGTCGAAGGAGTAACATTTTCTTTTCTTTTTTTAGTCTTTTTTTGTTTAAGTGTGTGGCACTACTTTACTTTTAAAGTTCGATGGGTCCAATTATAAATTGTATTTGTTTCCAGAACTATAGTTAGTTGCACACTAAATAAAAAAATAGCGATCGAGAACGTACTATAGTTAATGACATCTTATGGGGTTAAAAAAAATGAGTAAACTACTCTTTAAGGTATCTTCGTGGTAAATGGATTTGTCGTCTCACAAATAACTTCTTTATAAGATCTTGATTACGATGGTTTTGGTATCAATATCCAAAACGATAGATCATATTGTCTGACTGGTAGAATAAATTTATTATCTGATTGTATATTATTGTTCGGTGGTTCTTACTTGGTTATGTATTTACACTTAGTTATGTAAGACACTAAGACTGAGTTGTGTGATTATCATGAAACTGAAAAGAACGTTTCATATATAGTACCGATAGGATTATAATGGTAAAAGAAAAAAGACTCGGTTGAGAATCAAAAACTGTAATAATAGTTGTATAATTGTATAATTGGTGGAGTCGGTCGCATAGAAAAGACATATATTTCATTTCAGAGATTAAAAATTTTAAATGGAAAGAGAGGGAAATAACTCAATAAGTGAGGAGAATTAGGTTTGGGGCATTAACTTCACGCGGACTGAAAACTTTTCGACATGAATCAATCAAAACGAGCCGCCGAGCTGGTGCTGATCATACAATGATACGTGACGTGCGTCCTAAGTCTTTTTAGACATCTAAAATGAAATTATACATCGATCATATGCTACATTTGAGATGGCCGGTTCGAATCTTAGCTCAATGTTTCTTAATTTACGTGAAAGTGTCAAAACAACACTTCATACTGATACATGCAAAGCAAATGATTGTATCATATTGATACATGCAAAGCAAATGATATACAATGAGTAATATGAAAACAGAGAAAGTTTATTGTATCAAATATTATCCGTTTTTATCCATATAACTAGTGAAAGTGAATCTATTCGAACAACGGTATATTCTACGGTATTAAATTTTGGGCCAAAAACATTATAAGTGTTAAGTAGATCGTAATATATACTGCGTAGGGTGTGCGGGGGCGCAGACACAAGCCGACATAACAGTAAAGAAAAGGGTCCCTAAAGAGAGTGTTGGGAGTTTATAGGCTTTCACTAATCCCAAACAAAATTTGTGAAGCGAAAAAAAGACACGAATATATAGGCTTGAATTGAAACTATTTTCTTGTGAATTTTGATTTGAAATTCTTGTTAGCAGTAACATCATACGTTAACGTCAATCGCAGTGTAATAAGATTTATTAACGTGACCAAACTAATTAATGCAATAATGAATCCTATCAGTTTTTTTTTTTTTTTTGTCGATAAAATCCTATCAGTTTTTGTTTTTTTTGTTATACAACAAGCACTTTAAATATATCGGGTCCGTGTTTTGCCGATTTAGAAGTTCCCTCTTCTACAAGGCTGATAGGTATATATACATATCAACAAAGTTAACTAAACCTATAAATTAAAGTTATGTAAAATATTCATATTGTAATACACATAAATTAATTGTTAACGTTTATATAAATAATTAGTATTTTGAAAGGCTATAAAAGTAGTGATCGAAGATTTGGCTAGCTATGATAGCAAGAGCATGGTACGTGTGAGAGGTGCCTGCCTCCTCACTTAGTCGTCACGAAGATAAAATGTTTATCAAATGAACTTTGCATTGATGAAATAGTTCACGCCTTCACGGCGATTTGAAGCTAGAAATCTTTTATCATGCAATTCGAGATAAGCTTATTCCATAAAATAACATTATGAAATATTTGAAACATGCACGTTGTTACACATTTTTTGTGGCCATGCATGATGCAAATAACATGCGGAAACCATCTAGTAAGGGTTCCTAATTTTAAATCCACCAACAAAATCGTATATTCGTCATATATTCAATATAGAGTAGTCAAATCTACATGTCAAGTATTCGGCTAACCTTAACTAAGGAAAATTTAGGTAAGTGATTCTTAGTTAATGCCTACTAATCATTTTAATTTACAACTGGCGTTCTCAGTCCTTTTCACGATGAACTAGCACCCAAGATGGTCTTACTATAAGGGGAAGAATCAATGGTTGAGATTTAATTGGTTATTTTTTAGGGTTAATGAGTTGGAAGTGCAGTTAATGTAAAGTTAGTTGGGAGTTTAAGTTGTAGGACACAACATAAAAGTCAAAAAAGAGTTAGTGAAGAACGTGCTCCTCCTTTAAACTAAATCTTCCAAGACGTTGACGGTCCATGTTTATCTCCAAATTTATACTTCTTCTTCTTCTCCTTCTTTTTTCTTTTTTGTAATGTCTTTGATGAATATATATGAATCAATCTCTTTTGTATTGAGTTAATTTCTCAATTATTGGACAGCTATACGACAGATAACATATACGTTCTTATTAATAAGGACGGCTAGATAAGTAATTAAGGTTTTAATTTGAAGGATCATGTAAATGATCGATACCAGGAAGACTACTTAGAGAAAATTAATATTAAGGTAAGCAAACTGTATGGCGCTCTTGCTTACTTTACCTTCACTTTAAAGACAAGTATTATTGAAGGAATTCGCATGACATTATTGATCCCAAAATGTTTGGTTTTTGTAATAAATTGCTTGGACTCATCATATATCGATCATTCGAGAAATTGATTGCATTTGATAAAAAGGACAATTTACAGGCCATAATGCTCTGTCGGGGCGATGTTGTATTCTACTTATTGTTACAAAACCATGTGTATCCATCCATATACTTGATTTGACATATGAATATGATAAAAATATTATTCAGCCAAAAGTTTAAGGGACGATTAGTAATATACCTTTGGCCTAACTAGCTTCTTACATCCTCATTCAACTAACTGGAATATTAAAATTATGAGATTAATAAGTACATTTGTAATCATTATAAGTCTATTAAAATAAGTTCTTTAACGAATTATCTCAATTATAAACGGTATTTTAGTGAATTAATGTATGTGTTTTGTTTACAACTCACTTAATGAAATGCCTTTTAAATTAAATATTCTACTCATGGTTAAATAAAATTATATGTTTAGTTAAATAAGTGTAATTTTTGTTTTATAGTATTGCATTTTGAACAAAACTTTAAAGATTGTCATGCATCTTCACTGATAATACGGGCCGACCTGACCTACTAAGTTCTCAGATAAAATTGGGCCGGACTGGGTAAGGCTTCCTTTAATGGGCTAACTTCTGTTAAAGGAAGCTGGGGTGAAGCATCATTAGCCAATCAAACGGAGGATTATAATGTACAATCATCATCGCAAGTGGAATCAAAAACTAAGGGAACTAATAATTAGTTTAACTTCATCATATCGCAGAAGCATCTTTTCCAGATCATCCGTTATTAGATTATCTAATACTTACGTTGCTTAATATAAAAGTATCCAAAACCCTAAAGACAAACATCAATCATTGGACGAATCCATAAACTTACGTAAATTAGTTCAGCAATTTCGTGTGAGTTACATTGCCATTTGACTTTCACGTACGCATTAAACTTAACCATAACTTCAGGCAACCAATAATTAACAATTTTAATTAAAATCTACTTGTGTGATTCGTCTTGCAGCCAGCACAATACATTGACTCCACAATATCAATATTTTAACACCCGAATATATCTGCCTACGCAAATATACTTGATACATACGCACACGTATGTGATTATTAAAATAAAATAAAAACTGAAAACACATCTTATCTAAATTGTTGATTTGAAGAATCGTTTAACGAAATTACTTATTCAATCTTCCGTAAAATACTAAATCCATGCTAAATGTATCTGACAGGTGTTAAAGTGGCAATACTTTAAAAACAAAAGGAAAAAAATGGCGAAATCGAGTCTTAACTCTTGACTCATGCCTTCTTTGCTGAAGTTTTCTTTAATAGTTTTTCAGAAGTCAGAACTTTATATAGATGACATTGAAGTCGTTTTCATAATCTTTAAGACCTGTATACATAATAAATACACTTTCAGAATTATCGCATTAACAAAATACAAAAAAAAAGAAGCAATTCTTTAATATATTCAGCTCTATTGTTTATAGTATAGTATGATCTTACCCCCCACCAGAGTTTTCTAGACTATGTGTTTCTATATTTTAGTCTTCTAATCATTCTCTAGCTTCAAAACTCAATAGATAAACAAACTTTATATATATCAAGTAACAGAATCGACCTATAATATCGCTTATCAGCAGATAAATGCTTAATTATATCAAGGTAATCGTCGCTATCACCACCAATTCACACGAATAAGAAGATTTAGGATACGTCGTTACTCCAAAAGAAAGTATATTAATAGAAATGTGCCACGTAGGAAAAAGACAAGTAAGTACAGAGACATTGAGAGTCCCGTCAATCGAAGCGAAGCATAAACTTTGAGATGCGTCTCTCTGATGATTACGCGATCATTACACGTGTTTGGTTCACACACAAATAAAGCTTTGTCGTATTTCAAGATAGATCTGGAAAGTGGAAAGTGAAACTGACCACGAGGGTTTTTTTTCTTTTCTTTTTCTTTCATTGACGAGGCCCTACGATACGATACGATGCCGTAAATTCACAACAACACACTTCCTTCCTTCCACCAATGCCCAAAAACCTCTTTTAACTTTCGGAAACTGTTATCGTCGTTTTCTCTAGTAGAAGTATAACCAAAAAAAACATATGAAAAGTTTGTGAAAGTCTTTGAAAATATAGGATAGAAGTCGCTTAGGGCAAGTCATTTTAGTTTGTTTTAAGAGTTTGAATGATGACATTGGTAGGTTTGGTATGAGTTATTCCATTGGTAGGCAATGGTTTATCCCCAAAAAGAAAAGAAAAAAAAGAGTAGGAACCAAAAAACTGAGATAGTGGTAGGTTAGAGTAATTTGACCAATTGCTTATAACTGATTACGGTTGTTGTGAATGCTATCTTGTTTTATTGGAAGAGGATTGCTTTCTCTTCTTATTAATCTTTTTTTTTTCTCTGCTTTGACTTATGGATACTTCCAAAATTACTATACGCTTTCTTTTTCTTTTTGTTTTTTTTTTGCTTTTGGTTCGGACGTTATTAGATGTTTTATTTCTATGGACTTTAGTTCTACTAGATCTACTTTTTCTTCGTAGTTAGATATATCTATTCTTATTTTTCTTTTAATTTGTTTTGATGTGAGTATGTGGTTGTTAAGTGTATTATCATTTCGTGGATTTGCCTACTTCTAATTCTACCTATAAGCTAAAAAGAGAGATATTACATCCCATGTGATGGAAAAAAAAAGCCTAGAAAAATTAGGCTTCTCTTGTAATACGACAGGAGTCAAATTAATTCAGTTGGATAAGGAGAGAGAAGCTGGTCTACCTTGGGAAAAAAAGAAAGAAGGCGACCACACAATGCTTTGTTGATATGATACTCTTTAGATATGTTATATAGCTTTGGGACAGATGACTGCACTCTTGAATTCCTCTTCCTCTAAAATGACATAGATGAGTTTCTGTTGCATGAGCTTCCAATGATCATGACTCATATTGAGTGAGGGACGTTGGGTGATTTGAGAGATCCATGTCGAGATAAGATCTAATCTCTTCTAGAGAAGTATATTTGCAAGGACTCGATCATCTATTAGCTAGAGCCTAGATCTATCTATACTTGATTATAATCGATCGATGGAACTATATAGGAGATTCATTTTTGGAGCATTAACGAAGATACATGTGAATTTTTCCATGTTTTCATATTTTCTGGATATGATTCCACCATGTTGTATAATATTTTGTACATTATAATAAAAGTTGAAAACAATTATGTTTCTTTGTATTCAACAAATTACAGAATTATAATTGGTTTAGAGAAACTTCAACCGTCACTAAATTGTAGTAACGTTTAAAAAATGAAAACCTTTCCTTCTCTCTTTTTTTTTTTGTCTTCTTCAAACAAATTAATCATCTTATGAGACTTTCTTATATATTCTTTCATCATTCCATGATTTATTTGTTGAGATATTTTCTATTAAAAAACAAAAATGAAAAATGAAAAAATAAGAATTATAGGACCCAAACTACCTAATATAAAAGTAGGTTATGATATTTATAACATTAATTAGCTTAAATCTAACATTAGGTTTATGATGAGATTGTTCTATTCATATCTAACATACTCCTAGTTAAATACAATGTATCATTAGAAAATGAGTTTGAAAGCTTGGAAAAGAGATGGGGTAGGGTTAGAAACAAAAGCCCGTGATGTTGACATTGTTGAGCACGTAAAGAATCTTTATATAATTAAACGGATCGCCCATGCCGTTTATTATCATCAACATAATATTTATGAGTATAATTTGGTGAATAAAAACAACAAAGTAACAAGTATCATACCAACAATTGAAAAAAAAAAAAAGAATGTTAGGACTCAAAACTTCCTAATCAATCAAATTAAAGTCGGGTTTTCCTCATAAAGATGAATACACTAAAAATTCTCTCAGTTCTTCTCAACCACTATATATACATTTCATTAAAAACAAAGCAATTATGAAATTCTCCTAAGGTTTGTGAAATTAACAAATACGTGTCTTAAAGATAAACTACATAGTGTACCATACCATTACCATAGTCGTTTGGTAAGTATTATTATGATTCATGAGAAACTTGGACCACACTGCCCAAAACAGTTCAAATAATTCACGCTAAGAATTTATTATTATATATCTCTGTGTTGGGTAAAAATAGAAAATAAGAATATACGCAGGCACCTATTTTAAAAATGGAAATAGTTGAAATAATTAATAAATAGAGGGATGAAAACGTGGGCCACAAGAAAAGGAGACTGATTTGTCAGTACGCGCAGAGACACCTATCTTCCTTTTTCAGTTAAACACTTCTAAAAGCATCTTTATTATTCATTCATAACAACACTACTTTTTAATTCTATCTAATTCCTAATTTGTTTTATTTTCACGTATATTATAATTAACTTAGCCTTTTTCTGTATAATTTGAATCGAATAGGTCCTTCTATAGAATTGAAATTGAATCAGTCTTGGTATCGTATTTTCTTATTCGGAATGGGCTAATGGCTATTATTTATTTATTACCAAGAAATTGTAATCAACATAAAATTATCTGAACGTGATTGTTTTTATTTTGGGTCTCGTCGATCTCTTGACTAAATCAACCAAAAATAACCTTGACGAAAATGATTTATCTAAAAAGTAATGTGAAATGAAATAATGAAAAATGTAGTTTTATCACTTTGACTAAAACATTTGGGAAACACACCTTCTATATATAAAACCCCAAAATCTTTTTATTTAAATATTTTACTTTCTTTGGAAAAATGAAGATTTCTTCTTTTACCAAAAAAAAATGTTTTTCTTTTACATCAATAAATATATTTCAACCTTCCTAATAGTTTAGTAAAAATCCAATTTTAAACCAATGAAAGTCACGTAATCAAACATTCCACGGATAAGATTTAAAAGATTTGTCTAAATGTAATAATAGTTAGGCAAAATAAAATAAGAGTCGTCTCGTCGATCTTACATTATACAGATTCATACAAGAGCTTATTATAAAACTAGGCACTATTTTGCTTCTAACTTCGGATTTAGGTATTGTAACAAGCAAAGCACTAAAAAAATAAGAAAACCAATTGTACATGACATTATTGTCCCGGATGTTTTAAGCGGCATAAGAGGCTGACGTCATCGAAATTAGGCAAGTTGTTAAACGAAGATAATTTTTTCATGAACGGGAAATCATTTACAATGGCGCACATGAATTTATACCAATCATGTGGACTAGAAGTAAGCTACGAGAGCTAGATTTAGGTTATTTAGGGTTTGTGGTGAACTCCACAATATTAGATGAAACAGAGAGAACTAAACCCAGAGTTAGTAGCTACTAAACCCAAGTAGAACCTATAACTTTGATTTTAGTATAGCAAAACTAGTTAGTATAAAAACATATCATTTTAACGTAGATTATTTGAGTGAAAAAATATTCACTAAAACCTAGTTTAAGAAACTAATTAAACAACCCAATCAAAATTAGTCATGTCATTTAATTAAATAAATTAAAATAATTAATATTTATAAACCTAAAACAAAATTTAATTTATAAACTCCACAATCTAATTTTGT